AAAAGGGTAAAAGCTTAAGAAAACACAKCCCTGCTCTTTTAATTGTCCTTTTTTATTTGACAGTCACTCACGTCCTCGCTCAGATAACAACTTTCCCCTGATTTTTCGTCGCTCACTCCAGATTTTACTGATGCGCCCAGAGGTGGAATTATTTAAGTACACACGGGGGCAAGTTCAGGCAGAGAAGGATCTGGAGAGAATGGGTGGAGGGCTGCAAAGATTTCCAGTGACTGACGGTAAATGCCAAGGAGGAGGAATACCGCAAGGGACACACCAGGGAGTGCGTGTTTGTGCTGAAGACAAGCTTGCAACAGAGTTCTAAGCGACGGCAGCATGAGACAGAGAGAGTGTGTGTTTGCGCAATCAGTCATCGAGTGCAAGTATATCAACGCCTCCTTCCACCTGAGAGTCCTGACAGTGTTAAATGTCTCCGTCCCTGAGTGAAGACTGCACTTTCGTCTGTCTCTCTATACAGAAGTGACCCGTTTTAGCGGCTTGAAAACCCCTCTTTTCATGCTCTCTCTCCCCCCGTCCTCGTCTCTTTCTGCATCTCCTCTCTGGTCCCTATCTCTCCCATCCCTAAACGCTTTCATGAGCAGTCTCTCAGGGGCAGGGTTGTAACACAAACCGGCACTCTTTTGTCTCCATTCTTTTCCTTATCCTTTCATCTTTCTAAACATTCAAGGGAAAAGGGGGTTTGGTGAGATGGAAACCACTACTTGGTAAAGGAAAGAAAGAGATAGCATGTGAGAGAGTGAGAGGGAAAAAAAGGGGGAGGCAGAGTCTCTCCTCTTCTCTGCTCATCATCCAGTTTATGGCTCTCCTTTTCAACAAGGCCATTCAAGGTGGGGAGGCTCCGTGGACGGGCTATTCTTGCGGGTCAATAGCGGTGAACCCTTGTCTGGTTCGGGCTGCGCCGAGGACCTGTTGAACTGTCTGCCGGTCTGCATGTTTGTCCCTTAAAGACCTTTTCCTTGTCTCCTTTTCTGAGGTTCCCCCAAAAGACTCGTGGGTGCGCTGAGCAGCGAGTCACCAGCTCCTGTTTCCAAACCTTTTAACTTTAAAGTTGAGATGTCCGCTTTTATCCCAAATGCACTGCAGCAAAATGCATGTCTGTGTAACACCGACTTCTTCTCAAACCACCGCAGGATTTAAGGTTCTCATCGTAAAGTGCCTAATATCCCATTCTTGATGCAAGTTAAGGTAAACAAAGCAATTAGCTAAATCTAACATAAATACAGACCAATGCATCTGAATTGTCAGACTTCATTCGAAACAGGTCTACAAAGCAGGTCGCCATTGTTGACCTATTTTCAGTCACTTCGGCTGGTTTTGTAGGCAAACACGTGGTAGTTAGCAGCTACTCTTATATTTTGCTGACACACTTTTAATTTCATAACACAGTGATCATCAATATAAAAAAAATGTGTGAATTTTGTTTTGAATTTGTTTTTGACCCATCTTCACGTCATTTTGTAACACTGATGGTGGTAATATTTCTAAATAAAAACTGCAATAACAGAACATAGATCTGCCTGAAACAGAGTCTGGTACCGATACTGAACAGAAACAAAGACAAGTGCAAAATTACAGTATGTTAAAAATGTCTTGCAGCATAATGGACAGCCTGCAGCGTCAATAAATAGTTTTGCTTTTACAACCACYTAGCTTTCAACCGACTTCAAGAATGCTGGAGAAAATACATTTAGTTACTGACGTTTACATCTGGGACGTGACCATAATTAAGCCAACCAGTTTTCAAACTGCAGCTTTACGTTACAAGTTTCTTTCCTTTGACGGTTTGTGTAATCTAAAAATCTAAAGATACACCTTAAAGTAGACATTTATATTTAAATCCATCTTTTTCACATTTAAATCCTTCAGTTGGGGTCTAAATAAAGTGGAACTACAATGCTTTGGTCTGAACTCTTCCTTATTTTAACTCCACAAGCCCCTCTTAACCCCTTTTCTGAGGTGTGTCTCAAAGCAGCTCGTTTTGAGGCTGTTCCTTTAAATCCAAACGAGGCGCTTCATACCCCGCACCCCTCTGGCTTTGAGTTTGATAGAGGTGGGTTGTGGTTACCTATAGGGGTGCACCGATAAATCGGCCAGCCAATTTATCAGCGCCAATTTCTTTACTTTTGGGAGACCGGAGATCGTCCGKTCCTTAGATAAGATCGGTGGAGAAGATCGGCTTTTCTACCTCCACAAACGTCTGAAAATCAGCCACTATCCTCTTTTGCTCTGCTGTGAGCACTGATGTCCAATTAAAATAAGTTTGTATTGTTTCAAGAGTATTTTTAAAAGTGTTTCAGTAAAATAACATTTGAACATTGAAGTTGTATCATGACTTTATTACATCGGACAGTGTCAGCTATTTAAAAAACTGGTATRGGCCAAAACCAGAATCAGTAGGTCAGACTTTTTAACAATTGGCAAGAAAATTGGAATCATTGCACCCCTATTTATTTAGCTGCACAGAAACATTTTATTCACAAATTAATTAAAATATGTCAACAACGGAAGACTTGTCCATCCAAAATATCTCAAAACCCTCTGGGGCTCTCTTTTGAGTCACAGAGGCTCACGGTCAAGGATTTTTGGGATCACAAGTCTTTGCTGTTGCCATTTTAGTGGTCAGATGTAAAGCAAACATTTGGATTGCTTTCCTATGGCCTGAAAGCTGTGCAAATAAAATAAATCTGCAATTTTCAAAAATTAATAGAATAGAATAGAATAGAATAGAATAGAATAGAATAGAATAGAATAGAATAGAATAGAATTAATTGTCC